CTCTGTAAGTCGGTTCAGACGTCAGGCTGAAGATCTCTTGATGGATTACGAACATACCTTTGGCGGATAGACGTCACCCGTTTAGAAGACATTGCCTTACCTGTAAAAATAAAATATATTTTAGTATTGAGAATAACACAACGCGCGGTCTATAAGAAATGTTTAGACGAATGTAACGATTCAACGTAGAGGAGATAAAATTAGGGAATATAAAAACGCTAAGTGAAATGGTAACAAAGTATTTGTACATAATATATTTATGGTATCATGAGTGTCATTGTATAGTTCAACGGAACGGAAAAACTATTTAGGAGCGAATAACGTTTGAATACACCGGTTTAGTTTCGAAAAATTAGATTCTAATTTCACGAATAATCTTCTGAACCAAAAAGCCACGCCATTTCTTAAGGTCTAACTGTAAGCCATGGGGTACATTGGCGCTTCCATTGTGCATGAAGACCGTTACCAAGCCCAGTCCATCAGATAGGAGTATAGCCTTACCGACAGATGCTAACGGTACCTGACATTTCTTACGTTCTATGCAGCCTTAGAATCGCGCATTCAATAGATACGGGATATCAATTTAAAGCTGTTTTACGTGGTTATTTTTAATATTGCAAAGAAAATCGTGTTTTGCCGTGTGATAAACGTAACGAGAAGGTAGCGAGCACATTTATCTGGAATAAAATAAAAACACGAGCTACTATTTTCAGTATAAATGCTTTTAATAGGTCAATGTAAACTTGTCCTATAATTAAACTTGTCCTCTGCTGTCGATCTCAATCCGTGCAAAATATCGTTATTAATTCATGTAACGGCTACAGGGTCGCGAACAGTGGGTTGCAAATTGTGACTAAGAACAGTTCCGGCTTTGAGTATATTAATTGCTTCGAAGTTATGTACAATTCTTAGTAGAGCTTTAGTACCGATATTAAAAGTCCCCAAAATTTACTATCAATAAATTGTGTAAAGCTTTCACGGCCATCGTTCAGTATATCATTGTTTTTCGGCTGACGTAAGCGAGAAGATGTTCTCAATTCAAAGTTTAATGTCCTTATTGCAACTTCATTGAATTTTAGAATTAATCAAATTCCTCGTTTTAGGACCTAAATACATGTAGCAGACTAGTCTGTAGTTTGCTTGTGGTCCAAAAGTCAAACATCATTAAACCCTCTCAGAATTTCTATTATTAAAATTAATTATAAAACGTTAGCATGACGACATGCCCGTCAGTAATAATTCAGCATTGAAAGTTCTTGGCATAGAGCGACCTGGCATCAGCCCGTTAAAGACAAAGATGCGTGTCCGCTTCTAGGAAACAATTCTATTGGTGGATACCTAGTGTATCTTTATATTGGAGTGGCAATAATAATGTATTGATATGTAAAAAGCGTCCCACGTGCTTTAATTTATCACCTTGTTTACAGTCGCGGTATTGGAGACATTACTGTATGCATATATTACGTTATCTTTTAATATTACATTGTAAAGCAAAAATTCTGCTTTCATTATATTTGGGCAAAAATCGGGCACATTTCTTTGTTTATTTCCTTTAATAATACAACTTCTCTTTCTCATAGTATTAAAACTATAATGCTCCCACAGGAACCAAAAAGTTAGTTTTCGCGCCTAAGACAAAAAAATAACAAAAAAACCTGGGGGCAGTTTTTTGTATTGTGGATCTCTGATCAAATATTTTCATAGATATACTAGTTAAATACTGTCTGTAGTTTACGCGAGTAGTACACATTTAAATAAAACACTTCAACGTTAAAACGCAATATATATTGTAGTAATTTTCAAATAAGTTTAATAATATATAAGTTTTAACCGTTGAATTTATATATATATAAAAATATTGTAGGATATTTTTAATATTATTGTAACGGGGTTCGAGTTGACATTTGACGTTATCTCGAACTATTTATCATACGAAATGAGTTGCAATGAGAAATGTTGAGCTTTACGTAAAATCAAGAGGTGCATTACTATAATTTATTGTAGATTGAAACGTTGCGGCAACATAATTGAACGAAATTTTGCAATCACTCGCAACTAAAAGCAAGCAGATTCAAGATCGACTAGATACGATCAAAACATCGCTAGTTACCAAGCAGAACTGACACAAGGTCAACGGGTATAATATGCCGTTTATTTTAATATTTAACTAGCCAATATTAACACTGGTGTGCAACATTTAGATACAGCATTAAATACAAATTGTTGCACTAATTACAATGCATTGTAGTAATTTGTAATATAAATAATGATACTCCCAGAAGCTAAGGCAACTAGTAACATTGTAAAACCAGAATATGAATAGTAAATAATATAATAAAATTGTATATGAGCATTGCTACATTAAGTATCAAATTAAATAATCATATGTGTGGTCAAATTAATATTTTATGTATATAATTAACCTGAGGGTTACTACTGCAGTAATCACCATCTAGGAAGCCCTGCCATCCAAGGACATTAAATATAAGGGTAGGTAGTACTTACAGGGCCTCTTAGAGCCGGAGAAGAAATTTGGTATTTTTTATGATAGAGGAAGACAGATAAGCATACCATCACTTGATGGTAGATGAAATAACCCAGCAATCTAACTTCTAAACAAGATGCGCTGTCGTCCTATTTTATAGACTGTAGCCGAAATACGAAACATACGACTTCTTCGGTTTGTGACCCGGACGGAGTTTGATTATTCCTACCACAATTACTATTTATTTTAACATTCAGATTTCCAGATAAAGTCCAACACGTTTAAGAAAAATTATAACTTGATTTGAAATATATTAGGCCCTGTGGGGATCGAATCCACGACCCGTTATTCATTAGTCATACATTGCTACCATACCAACAAGCCCGTCAATGTTGGTAGTTTTAAAAGAACAAAATCACAACATACACATAGGTACATAGGAGTGGCTTGGCGTTCATACGCATCGGTGCCATGTCCTTGTACTCTGGTTCGTATGAAGGCTGACGTTACCTTGTGGGGTTTCAAAGAGCTATCGTCCTTGAATTTATACACAGCCAAGGATTAACTTTCCGTTTATTATTGTGTTCACGGCGTTTAGTATTACAAGTCATCTCGCTATTATGTTCTTACTCGACTTATATTTCTTGGCATATAGAATTATATGCTGTAAAAAATATTATTTTCTTAGAAATACCTAAAAATATAACTCAGTTCAGTATAAATGCTTTTCAAATAAGTTCAACTGATATATCGCGTTTTAAACCGTTAAAGTGTTTTATTTAAATTGTACTACTCGCGTAAACTATAGACAGTATTTAATATAACTCAGAATTAACGTAACTTGTCTATCTTAATATTAAAAATCTAAATGTATGTGATTATAATAAATATATATAAATATAATGTACTTAATAGTAATTTTATACTTGTTTAAAACGCTTTGCTGATCTAACAAACGGTACACAAAACTAGGACACCCTCCAGCGCGTATACTTAGCAAAAAATAGCATCTCTTTTGAGTGACAGCGAACATGATGAATCGCAAATTGCGAATCTATAACAGCGTGGCTTTCGCCGGGCATCGAACCCGACCCGGTTGCTAAGCAATTTATAACGGCTCTCATTGAAGTCTACGTACAACAGTAAATTGATGGTGGAGCGATAATTATTATTGACCTTTTGTCTTTATTAGGTGTAGCCAAGCACCTTTACGCGCTGTCAGCGTTTATCTGTTACGTTTGATGTCTGTAACGTCATGTTATTTCTTGATTCTCGGGGGGGGAAAATTTGGGGGGGTTTTTTTGGGGGGGGTTACTTAAACAAAAAAAAAAAAAAAAAAAATTTTTTTTTCTATTTTATGTTTAATTATCATATGTTCAATGTACTGTAAGTTTATGTATACTGTTCTACTTCAAATGTCAAGCATGGGACATCTCTGAAAATGGCGTTGTGCCTACTTCCGGGTACAACAAAACTAGTGTCCCTCCACATACATCTAGTTTATTACATTTTTTTTAATCTGTCGTCGTAGAATAAGTGAAGAGTTGTAAATTTGATAAATATTTTTTCGGTCAGATGAAAGCTTCTCGTGGTTAAGGGTAGTAAGAGTAATTGAAATGTACAAGAATGAAGGCCATGTCAAAATACAGGGTTCATACTCAATACATTTTGGGGACATTTGTACTTGAGAAAAGTAATACAGTAACGCCCCTGTCCCACACGTGTCCCAATCTCGAAAATATTAATTACCGTTCACTGCTAAAGACTCGAGGCTGTATCAATGGTTAATTGGCGCAGACGCACGTGGCAGCCGCGTAGTTAATAACTAACCCTTGGCATAGTTGCCTTAACAAGCGCATAACCATGATATGCGGAAAGAACGGTACTTCGAGATTACTTGTTTGTATTCAAGTTCTGGAGAGATTTGGATATCGCTACAAAGACTGATCTAAAAGGCAGCTAAAACGATATGTGTTTAACTTGTGTCGCTATGTGTAATTACCAGAGGTAATTGAATAATGTAGCAAAAATACGTCAGTTCTTCTGAAATTTTGACGTCGAGAGTCATAGAGTGCGTTATAAGGTAGAGAGAAGAGCATAAACAAGCATATGGTTCACTCGAAGAAAGGTTAATTGTCCCCACCATATAAGATCTACACAAGATGCACTGTCAGCCTATTTTGGCTTTGTAAATTCATAATTCCACAAACTAAAACCCAAAATATTTATATGTATTGGTCGTTTGTAACCCCGCGGAATTCCACGATTTGAATTTTCTCAAGACCCCGACCACCAGTCGTAGTAAGAATTATACTGAAAACTGGCTGGAAAAAAATGTTCTGAATGATTTTTTAATAATGTCATATCATGCTGTCAGAGTCGAATTCGCGTACGGCTGAAGTGCCCACTCACATTACATCCTTGGCGTGACATCTAAACGCTGGAGTCAACAACCGCGGTGGAACAAAAAAGTCTACAATAACTTTGCATTGACAGCCAACGGCTATTTTGGAACATGACGTAAGTACGGCTTAAGCTGTGGGTACATACGAATTATGCTTTATTATGAGATCAGCGAGCTACACTACTGCGGCTCTAAAATGACGCATTTGAGGCGTCACCAATCAAATCTCATTAGATTGCCTTTTTCATTTGATGAACTGTACGCGTACCAATATACTACAATAATATAAATAACGACAAAATAAAACTTGAATAATTACTAAACTTTAACTCTCGTATTAGAAAAATACAAAATAACTTAATATTGTATGTTTTTTATAAATTGAAAATCAATTATTACAAGGATTTAAAAAGAAAAAAAAATATTTTTAAAATAAAGTCTGCTTTTTTTATAGTTGTCGATGAACAGTACGCGTATCTATTAATATCAATAATCATGAAATCTTCAATAATATCTTTCCCTGGACTTTCTATTATTTATATGGACATGAGGCGCAATTTTAGCGGCCTTTTGTAACGATCATGAGATCATTCGATCATTATAACGAGTGTAATTAGAGTTGTATTTGGGATGTTCATGTGTTGTAGCATTTTTTGTAAAGGCATTGACACTGAATAATTTCAGAGACGTACTTTCTAGAGACGGATATGAATAGATCCAATGAAGAACATAATTGCCCTGTAGTAGTGTCGCGATACTTAAATAGTTAAGTAAAAACAAGAATCTATACAAATTACAAACAAAGCGACCATGCATAAGTAATAAAAACGAAGTTCAAAAAAACAAATAATGTAACAAAAAAACTCTCACGTGAAACTAGTGATAAGAAAGCGACTCCAACCACCCCGACAAAAAAAAATATTCCCGTGCTTAGATGAACTTGATATTTTTAATTTCGAATTGCTTTTAAAACAATTCCTTCTACATCATTAAGCAATTTCTTTACACTCCATGTTCATGTAAGCCCAAGTTGACACATAAACCAAAAGAAACAACCATAACCATAAGCCAAACGATCCGATCGGTCTACCTGGTGTTGTGCTGCCTATCCGCGGGCGGCGGCGACGGTGCGCGAGAGGTCGCCGTCGAATCCCTCGTTTCCAGCACCGTCGACGGACTGCCTGAACCGCTTCCACCGAGCGCCAACGCCAGCCCGCTGATGCTGCCGACACATCACTACGTCACCATAGCCCCTAGCGTCGAGCCTTACCGACACTTAACTGCTCCAATAGCACACGAGGATTGGAGCAGCCAAGTAGTCTAATAATAATGACACTATGGATACACTATCAATGAGGCTAGGCTAAATTACGAAACCTTTAATCGCTACCATTTTGCGTTATATCCCGCCAAGATATATTTACTCCAGGTCCGTTCTAGCACGGCCGAGCGAAGCAGAACATTCTCAGCAGGGTGAAGAAATACATAAGCGGTGATGTTCAGTTAGTGGCAAGGCAACGAGGGTGTCTGTTATTTTCAGTTAGAAGTTGCAAGCAAGCGTATTCATCTTTCGCTTCATATATTCAAGCTAATATGTTATTTACTATCTTTATATTCTTACATGCAAAGTATATTGCTGACATAGACTTGTTTATCTTATTGTTTATACATAATGTTTTAACAAAAATAGCACTTACTAATAGGGTTAGGACGTGCAACGACTTATTTAACACAGTGCCAATTGTACAGCGAAACGGTTAGAGGTGAGGAGGAAGTAGAGAATCAGTCACGCATTAGAAGTGGGCGACGAGACGCAATTAGCAGGCGATTCCACGTCAATGAACGAGAAATATGTCGCGAAAGAATCGACATGGTAATGAGCCAAATAGAAGCGGCGGTCAGAGCCAGCGTGTCGCCATAATCATTTAGAGCTTCATCATTTTCAGTGGTCATTGTTTTCAATTATTTGTGGTTTTAAGGATCAGATAGGAAGGAAGAAGAGCCTATATTTGCGACGCCGTTATACGGTACTTTGCTGCTAGTCGCATTTAGAAAAAATACCCATTTGTATATACTATACTAATATTATAAAGTTGAAGAGTTTATTTGTTTGCTTGAACGCATCTCTCATCATCTCGGGAACTGGCTGCGACGAATGGCAAGTAAGAGACATAGGGAAAAGTGGAAAAAACGGGGAAGATTATTCATCTTGGAGTGCCTCGTAAAAGCTGTTTTTCTTTTTTTTTCTTTAGTTCACGCATAGGAGAATCGTAGCTAATGAAATAATAATTATTAATAATAAGTAAACATAACTACAGCTAAGAATTCACGCGACTTTTGCTCATTCACTTCCTTCAGTTGTTTAACAAAAGGTTAAGCTCCAACATATAAAATTACATTCCGGAATAAAACTAATTTCCGCGACTCGTTAATTTCTATAATGCACCTCAGGTGACGTCACGACATAAGGTCGTGACATTGCGAAGGCGGAAGTTTTAAAACAGCAACAAAGGACATTAAAATAACACTTTTGGCGTTTAATGTTTCCTTCAGTCTGGATATACAAAGAAATGCGGATAAAATATATCTCGAAGACATATATAGCATCATGTTGTTTATTGTAAACAATATTGAATTTTTTATTGTAAAAAATATACTTTAGTCAACACGAACGTGGGCTACAAGGTCAAGGTGATTATTAATACACACGGATTTCAGTAGCTCAGTTGGTAAAACATGACAGGCAAAGAACCACCTGGGTCAAATATATTTTTTAATCTGCTTTTAATAATATTTAATTTCTGTTATTCTTATCTTCTGTGCGCCTATCAATATTTATTGAAAACTCGTGTGAGCGCATATCGAGAAATTGAGCAAACATCTGGAGTAAGCATGACCTTCTACAAGGGCAGTATTATTTTAAACTTGGACTTCGATGTACTGCATCATGTAGTAACAAACTTAATTTTTAAAATAAAAATCAGTGTTGTAAAAAAATACCTGAACTCCGAAATGAATAAGAAGTGTATGTTGATGTTGGAAGCAACAGGTATGCGTCACCTATTTTGCCCAGGTGTTCCAATTAAGAAAATGAATAGATGTAATACATGCCAAAATTTCAAGAACCACGAGCATTTCTAATAAGTATGTATCAATGTATATCAAATTGCATCACACTTTTCGCACTAACTTCAGTTCATATCCGACGGAGACAAGGTTACCGAAGCGAAGGTTAGGAAAGTGAAATGATCATAACTACAGAATTAATTGCGTTGTTCAAGCATACATTTACTTTGAGTGTCTTATTAAAAAGTCACGCGCTGGTAACAGAAACCAATTGAAGGTGCTTTGTTGTCAGTTACCTTTCAACTTCGGCAAAATTAAGGTTACACACAACTGTCATTACTATGATGTACTTTTTGTTGATGTCGCTATTAAGGGACCTCCACAGTCTAAAATATCCGAATCTAAACAGCGGTATACAAAGAAATCAAACATGATGCACACAATTCTTAGAATTACTAGAGCTATCTAGGCGCAATTTTACTTAATTCGCTCGAATAAAGTGCAGATTTAGGACTTCTATCGCTGTATCGGATACACATGTATATGCAAGTACGAGTGTAGAATGAAATGAGTCATTGTGTTTGAATGACTGTATTCCATGTCAACATGCAATGCAGCAATAAACCTAAAACGATCCGGTTTCTATAAAAACCCTTCCACTCGATTTTTTAGTCACGTCACACGAGAGACGGGTCAGAGTGGCCCAATGCCCGCAAAATATAGTGTTAAATTTAAATCCACACTCGCCCATAAGTACAGAAATATAATGTTATTAATAAAACAGTCAAATTCCAGACTTCAATGGAATTTGCTACTTGGCATGATGTCAAGTCGAAACTCCATGAGATTTGTTGAATTTGCTGAGGAATATGCAAGTTTGTGTATATTATGAAATAATCTATACTAATATTATCAAAGCTGAAGAGTTTGCTTGTTAATCTCAGGGACTGCTGGTTCGAATTGAATTTTTTTAGTAGTTAGTTCTCGATAAATAGTTAACTATTTATCGAGGCAAACTTTAGGATCCGACCAATAGGAGCGAAAAAACCATGGGTAATGTGGTAAAAATGTATGAAAGAATTATTCTTTTTTAGATAATTTAAAAGATTAATTCACAACCACTTGTACTTCATATGGTAAAAGAACGTTTTGCCATTTCATATAGTAAGATATAACTATCTCTATAAAATGCCAATAAAATAATTTAACTGCTATTAAGACTGGCATGCGATGTTTTATAGTTGATAGAGGTGAGTCAATTAACGTTAAATCCCGGTAACATTCAAGCCATAAGCTACTGACACACTCTTTGCGCTCCGCTGACTTATAAGCCTGGTTTCAATTTATCATATAGCTCCATTAATGGAAGAAGTATTTTTTTATGATAGGTCAGACAAGCACTGTGTTCACTTATTGGTTTGTGTAATACCCTAGCGATATAACATCTAAGCAAGTGCACTGTGGGCCTATTTTGGCGTTTGATTTCCGAATACACATCAGACACAAACAGAAACGACGGCTTCTTTTGGATGTTGGTTCGCGACCTTTACGGTATTTTGATATTCCTGTGATCCATAGGTAATATTCAGATTTCCAGAGAAAGCCAGCATATGTCATAAAAAACATAAATTGATAAGAAAAATGTAGGACACGGTGGGAATTGAACCCTGTCAAAAATATAATGTATATAAAAATAATAAGGTATGTTGTTTGACATAAATATGCAATACGAATTGTTAGTAAAATAACACCAAAACAAAACACTACAGTCGGCCTGTAAACAGAATGATAACCTTCGAACAAACGTCAAACAGTACAATTATTATTGTGATCGTGGTCTAGCGGTGGAAGCAACAAAGGTACCCTTCAAGGGAGTGTTGTAAATCATACAAACGGTCGTTAGCGGCGCGTGCGCGGCTGATACAAATGATAATTTATAACGGTTAATAAGCAACCTTGCGCAGATAGCAATAGAGTTTATGTTAAATTAAGTAATATTAGCGAGGTGGCGAGCCGTGAGTGGTGATAAATAACATAACAATTGTTCTTTATTGTGGAATCACGTTCCCTGTGACCTCTATTCGGAGTAAGAGTTTGCATTCCGACAATATCAGGTTTGGGGGTAATGGATTCATAATACATACTTACAACGAACGAGGAAATAATAAATATCGTACAAGGCAACAATGTGTATGATAAAATTTTAGTAAAAAGACAAAAAGCCCCAAAAGAGAAATATGTAGGTGGCTGATATAGTTTAATAATTATTAGAACTAGAATCTCACATTGATATTATAGAAAACTACTACTACACTACACTGCTTTTTGCACAGCAACGGCATTAGTAGTTGCGAGTTCTCAGCCTATCTATACTAATATATAAAGCAGAAGAGTTTGTCTGTATGAACGCGCTAATCTAAGGCATTTATCGAGGAAGGCTATTATAGGCTATAAAAGGTCGTCCTATAACTAAAAGGGGCGAAGATACAGCGTGAAGTGTGACAAAAGTTGAGAAAATTGTTCATCATTATGGGTTTCCGAGGCGTGCGCTGCAAAAACGGTTCAAGAAATCCAAAAAATATTTATGAGAAAATGATTCCTCTTCAAATGATCTAAAAAAAGTCCACGACGCTATATGTCTATCTTTTAAGATTATCTTGTAAGAACCACGTAAGGGACGCGACAGACCTCGTATAAAATAACTATTCTACGCGGACGAAGTCGCGAGCATAGCAACTAGTTTATATTATGCTTAGGAATACTTTATGCAACGAATATTTTACTACAAGGTGTGTTTATGTTAATTTTGCCACCTTGGAAGGGACTATTTGATATAAAAACCTTTTCTAATGTGAGATTGCCATGCGCAGGAATGGAACATTAATAAGTGAATTAATTTCAGGAAAACAACGAATGTTAAGACGTCAAATAACAACCAAACTAAAACAAATGCCTCACGCGATAAACATGAGGCATGTGGTCGGTTTAATTGATCGTTTCACGTAAACCAGCATGTCAGAAGACACTCAGGTCTCACATTGAACAATAAATCTCATTAAAGTACGCGGAGGCGCCGGAGTAGAAAGCAGATCTACATTAACCGGCAGTGTTTACTTTTGCATTGGCTCCACGCCTGTTCAACTCACCTTGACCGATGTTCCCGGTCAGTACGCAAAACCAATAAGTGTGACCTACGAATGACGGTTCACTAGAACCATTCATTGATTAAGTAAAATTAAAACGTTACTTCCCTTATAT